GACGATACATACGATACGTACAATACGGTGACGATACATACGATACGGAGGATACGATTACAATCCAGATAATATATGCAGAACTAAGAAGTAGGGTGCACCAGTCCGACTGGGTCCTCCTATCTATCCTAGGAGGGGTACTCGGGTCCTCATCTGCCTATCCTAGAGGAGGTCTCGGATCCTCTAGTCCTATATTGTGAGGTACCCATTGGTCCTTATATCCTATATTCTAAGGATACCCTTGAGTCCTTATATCCTATGTTCTACGAGTACGTTCAGGTCTTCAAGTCCTCTATTCTGAGGTACCCTCGGGCCCTTATACTCTATATTCTGGAGATACTTTCAGGTCCTCAAGTCCTACATTGAGAGAGTACCCTTAGGTCCTCAAGTCCTATATTCGAAGGGTACCCATAGATCCTCAAGTCCTATATTATAGGGATACCCTTGGGTCCTCAAGTCCTATATTAGGAGGGTACCTATAGGTCCTCAAGTTCTATATTTGTAGGGTATCCTTAGGTCCTCAAGTCCTATATTCAGAGAGTACCCTTAGATCCTCATCTCCTATTGTATAGAGGTATGGATGTAGCAATACCAATACCAGTCAATAGCAATTGGTATTGGTATTGGCTGGTGTCAGTATTGGTGTCCTCAAGTCTCTATATCTGGGATACATCTTGGGGTCCTCATGAGCCACTATTTAGAGACACTCTTGGTCCATCATGTGGCATTATTTTGAAGTGCCCTTGGGTCCCGATGCTCTGTTAGCCTGTCGCCAGTCGTCGCTCCACAATAAAAACTCAATGTGATTTTATCAAGTGGGAAAGTGCTGCACCCAGCACCTTGGCACCTGCTTAGCACTTCAGCACCCAGCCAGCACCTTTAGCATATATAACTATGAGCACCTTCAAGCACTTTCCCACTATCCTAAATGCTTTTCCGGTACCTTGCGGTAAAATTTACTGCCCAGGTTCTGCCCTTCAAATTTTAGCGTAAGGTACTGAAAAAAGTACTTAGGATAGTGGGGAAGTGCTTGAAGGTGCTCATAGTAAAATACGCTAAAGGTGCCGAATAGGTGCTGAGGTGCTAAGCAGGTGCGGAGATGCTGAGCAGGTGCTGGGTACAGCACTTACCCCCTTGGGTTTTATTCTATTGTGAAAGCTATGAGTTTGTGCAGGCGTTCCTTTTGCAATGGTTGTGTTTCATGTTACCATTAAGAATTAGTTAGCACACAAGTACAAAGGATCCTAGAAATCTACGCATAATTCCCACACGAAAAGGGATATATTTTGCATAATGCGAGAGAAATATGCAAACATCCATTGACTATGAAACAAGGATCTCCCATTTTGGAAAGATAGATAGGTCAGACTCCCGAGTATTATAATCGTTCGTATCGTAGGATTCCACACTGGCATTATTATTCAAGTGTGATCAACTCGTGCATAATTGGTATCAACTATACTTCAGTTTCTGAAGAAACTTTATTTTTTCGTGAAAGGCTTTTGCATATCGCCGCAAAAATTAGTATAAATTTGCATCATTTGGTTTCTGAGCTGTACATAATTTCCTCACAAGAAAAGACCTAAGAGAACGGTGTTGTTCCATACATAAAACCTTTTCAATACTTCTAAGACAACTATGCTGTATTAATACGAATTGGTATATATTTTCCAACACTTGAAAGGCATTAATTTTTGTGATTTTTCTGTTGATAGAAAATGTATACAAAGCAAACCAATTGAGACATATAAGTGGTCTATACTCAAATACTGAGAAGCAATGAGTTCACTTATCAATTTCCGAAAGTATTTGTTCTGTGCTCATTTGGGACAGATGGGCTTCTAATGTGTTTGGAAAGCGATAACCTTGTGACTGGGCTTCTGTTCCATATGGGATTCTACATATTATACAGCGGACTTATATTCTGTGGGGAATTTTAAAAGACATAAGAACCGCAGCGTACAGTCGTACAATGGCACATGAGGACGCAAGATTACTTCTAAATAATATGACATGAGGATCCAAGGATACCTCTAAACAATAGCATATGAGGACCTAAGGGTACCTCTAAATAATAGCCGATGAGGACCTAAGGGTACCTCCAAATAATAGTCCATGAGGACCTAAGGATACCTCTAAATAATAGTCCATGAGGGCTTAAGGGTACCTCTAAATAATAGCATATGAGAACCCAATGGTACCTCCAAATAATAGTCCATGAGGACCCAAGGGTACCTCCAAATAGTAGCCCATGAGGGCCTCAGGGTACCTCTAAATAATAGCGTATGAGGATCCAAGGGTACCTCTAAATAGTAGCATATGAGGACCTAAGCGTACCTCCAAATAATAGCCGATGAGGACCTAAGGATACATCTAAATAATAGTCCATGAGGGCTTAAGGGTACCTCTAAATGATAGCATATAAGAACCCAATGGTACCTCCAAATAATAGTCCATGAGGACCCAAGGGTACCTCCAAGTAGTAGCCCATGAGGGCCTCAGGGTACCTCTAAATAATAGCGTATGAGGACCCAAGGGTAAAATAGTAGCATATGAGGACCTAAGCGTATCTCCAAATAATAGCCGATGAGGACCTAAGGGTACCTCTAAATAATAGTCCATGAGGGCCTAAGGGTACCTCTAAATAGTAGCATATGAGGACTCAAGGGTACCTCCAAATAATAGCCCATGAAGACCTAAAGGTAT